GATTTAAGCAGGGCCTGGAAGAAAATTTAGGCTAGATGAATATAGCCACAGTGCTGGGAGGGAAGAAAGAAAGACTCCCCGTTACGAAACATGTCAGCAAAGGTCTAGCAGTAACGAGAAGAGATGGAAGCACATGTAGAGGAGCTAATAGCTTCCTCCAGCCTCAGCAGTGGGTGGGATGACAGGTGGAACAGGGACCTGGTCTGGAAAGGTATGTAGAGACCAAGTGATGAAGGATGTTGACTAAGGAGTATGAGTTGAGCTTTGCATCCAACGAACAGTTACTGAGTGTTTTATGTGGGAAGTGCTCTGAGCAGATGTGTTTGTAGATGACAATGTGTCAGCTGGATGCTTTGCCCAGGTGAACGGAGATACTTGGGGTGGTGCTGGTCCTGGTGACTGGCACCTAGTGGGATTGAGGCAAGAAGAGTCTTTGGTTTCCCTTAAAAAACAGGTGGCACTGTTCTATTATTGGGATGATTTCAGGACAACAAAAATGTGATCTTTCCCAAGCCACTGACATTCAAGTTCAAGGGCAGTAGATTGAGGCTCTGACAGGTTCACAGCTTCATCCTTCTACAGCTGTAGTTGAGCAACATTTATGCTGAAAAACTCGAGCTTTACCAGTAACTCTGAGTGAGTCTTTGCACCAAACTTCAGTAAAGACTTCCATAGCATACCACGGAGATACCGTGGGGTCCGCTCCAGACCACTTCAGTAGAACGAATAGCACAATAAAGCAAGTCACAATCATTTTGTTAGTGGAGTGTCTCACCTTTAATTTGCAAAAAAAAAAAAAAAAAAAGAGCAACATCTGTAAAGTGCAATAAAATGAGGTATGCCTATATAAAGAGGTGGGACTTGTGTCTTCTCTTGACAGATTGCATATGGATAACCAGATAAGTTTCGGAAAGGAATGAATTCCACATCTTCAGTCTCCTGGTACTGCGATTTGCCCTCTTGGTTCATAAGTATCACAGCCCTAACGAGAAGAAAAGAATCACATATTTCAGTTTCACCAGTTTATTTCACTATCCTTCTCCAGTTGAATCCCTTTTGCTAACTCAGACAACAAAGATATTTGGTTCACTGGAATTTAAAGAAAAAAAGGAAAACATTTTCCATTCCCTTGTTCTTTCTCTCCTTCCACATTTTCCTTCTCTACACTTATTAGGCTCGTATCCAGCTCCTCTCTTGGTTGGTGTGTAACGGAGACGCTTGCATGGGGAGTTTTTAGACATTTTTGTCAAATAGTATAACGTGACTCCCTGTCTTTCCTCCAAGTCTTGAGTGAAGTATCCATTTCTCAGAAATGCTGTGTGGGTTGGCTGTAGTATGTTGGCCTGTTTCCTGGTGGGCGTGGACCTGGAACAGGGCTGCCCTTGGGGGTCCAGGGCTCTGGTCACAGGCAGAGGTTGCAAGGCACACACCTTCTCCCTCCAACTGGAAGGCCTGGCCCCAATGCTGCTGTTCTCTCCCGGGGGTTAGTAGTGGAAACTTGAGGAGGGCTGGCAAAGAAATGGGTATTAACATTGATACTTTGAAAGTACAAAGACGTGCCAAGACTTAAGTCCTTCAGTTGTTTTTGAGGATCATTTTAGTCAAACACAGCGCTGGAAATCCCAGAATTCGAGTCCCATTTGGCTCTACCTGTATACCTTCTCAATCTCTGTTTAAGGCTTCTTTTGCTTTTTTTCCCTGAAAAACACGCGGTGGTTACAAAAAATATGTAAAATGGCTTCGTGGGGTGGCAGCGCTGCTTCAAAAGGGGCCTGTGAGAACCACAAACTGAGGATTATTGCCGTCAAAGGTTTACTCTCGGACTCAGGGGCACTGGTGGAAAGAATCTGAGCTGTCAGTCACATTCCTTAAAAACACAAACAAAACCGTTTCTTTGTTGTTCTGCCCCTTCAGGTGTTCTGGTGAAACCACCCCAGGCCACGTGTGGTCTGGAAGCAGATTCAGCATTCCAACGGCTTGCCTCTGTAAGTTGGTTCTGGTACCAGTTCCAGTGTGGGTGTTGGGGGTGGTTCCCGGACGGCACTGGGTGATTCTGACACCATCTACCCAGAGCGCGGCAGATTCCACAGCTCAAGGGTTCAGTTCCGTAGGACTGCCGCACTCCCAGCTTCGGATACCAGTCCCAGCCCAGGCTGTTACTTATGCTTCTGCCTGGCTAAAAACCAAAGGTTCCCCTAACCCCGTCCTCAGGTTCAATTAATTTGCCAGGGCGGCTCACAGAACTCTGAGGAACATCTTACACACTGGACTACCAGTGTATTGCAAAAGGAAATCACTCAGGGACAGCCAAGTGGGAGAGATGGGCAGGGCGAGGTGTGGGGAAGGGCGTGGAGCTTCCTGGTTCTGCGGGTGCACTCCCAGCACCTCCTCGTGCTCCCCAACCGGGAAGCTCTCTGAACCCCCTCCTTTTTGGGTTTTATAGGAGCTTCATTACATAGGCATGATGGATTAACTATTAGTGATTAATTCAACCTGGAGCCCTTCTCCCTTCCCTGGAGGTTGGGGGATGGGACCCTTTAATCACAGGGTTGGTTCTCCAGGCACCAGCCCCCATCCTTAGGGTCTGTCCTAAATCACTCATTAAAATAACAAAAGGCACCTTTATTACTCTCCTCACTTAGAAAATTCCAAGGGTTTTAGGAGGCCTGCGCCAGAAACAGGGACGAAGAGCAAATCTATATTTCTTATAATAAATCACAGTGTCACAGCTGGACTCCTGGCTCTCCCTCTCTCTCGCTCTGTGACCTTGGCAGTCACTTCATCTCTCTGTGCTTCAGGTCCTCGGCGACAAACGAGGCCAACGGGAGCACCTTCCTTACGGGCAAGCGGCGAGGATAAAATGAGTTAATTCCTGTAAAGCCCTGAGAGTGGCTGAACATTTGTTCGCACCGGTGTTCGGGGACCCTGACAAAGATTCCTGTGAATGGTTATAAAACACAATTCAGCTGCGCACATCTGAAGATTTAATTGGCTTTATTCCGTGACTCATATATTGGGCGGCGTCCCATCTAGCAAACAGAAAGGAGCTCTGAGGAGCTGTACAGAATGGAAGGGTTGTGCACGCGCAGGAGTGGAGGCAAAGAGAAAGTTTCTAGACCAGTGGATTCCTTTAGGCATCGCGTGCCTTTGGGAAAGGGCGGGGGTCTGTCAGGCAGATCTCACCAGCACTGAGCAGGTGATTCCAGACGGACTGTGGAAAGATCACATCCCCAGAGGACTCCAATCAGGTCTTGGTTTGCTGACGTGGGGCTTAGCACTGGTGACTCCTTTTGGGCCAGGTGTTACTTTTTTACCAGTAGTGTGTGTGACTGCAGGTTAAATAACAGAGGGGAAAGGGAAGCATGGCTTCTTCTCAAAAGGAAAAAGAGATTTCAAACATAGGGTGATGTGAGGAGGGAAAAAGCTTTCTAGAATTAATGACTGACATGGGGGTGAGGCTCAGGGCTCCCACAGACTAGAGTGTGGGGGTATACCTTGCGCTTTCTCCTTTTCCACAATAATTGGTTCATTTGTGTAAGTTACAGTTGCTTTCTGCAGAGCTTATGTAACTCAAACCCTGCAAAGTCATGGTTGTACATTTGTAGGGACTTGGGCTGGAACGGATATCCTGAGTGCCATTTCAGAAGGCACTGCCTGACTGTAGGGGTGTCACACACAGCCCCCACCTATGAGCAATGAACCGCACTGTAGGGTGGTCTTTGGAGAAGGTTAGATCCGGTAGCTTCGTCTCTCCCTCTCCTCTACCCCCTCACTTTCTCACATGTACCCCTCTCCCAGCCCCTAACATCGGCAGCCTCTCGTTTTAAACACAAGGACATTTGTTGTATGCAATCATTTTATTAAGCTGGCTTATTTCCATTATAGATAATCATGAAATTGAGGGGGTGAATGTACCCACATTTTAAGCTACAAAAAGGCCGTGATTCAATTTTTCTCTCTTTATTAAGAAGCCCGGTCTCAGTCAGATAAATTGCAGCTAAGTTTTATGCTGGAGCAAGTCTCCTCAGTCATGTTAAATTCATGGGGAAAATCCTCCTAGGGTTTAGCACTGGAGAGTAGATGCTTTAATGACAGGATCGCTGGTGTGAAGAGTAGAGAGAAGAGGCTTGTTTGGACCATTTAGGGAGAAAATGGGTAAGATGTTACAAATAAGTTGTGCTATATTTTCATCCTGCTATTTTCCTCATCTGAAGAAATACTGAAATGAGATTTTAAATTCTGAATGATTATCTGACAGCTCCCATCTCTAGGACAAATTATCAGCAAGGGTTTTATTTGGCTATTAACTTTACTCAGAACTCAGAGGACACAGGCTTACCAGAGCCCAGAGGAAGAAGGAAAATCTACAGACAAGAATGCCTTGAACAGAATACCATGACAGCTACCTCTGGATTCCCTTTTCCAACCTGTGTGGACATTGACCTTCTTATCCAGTGGGGCTGGGGTAGAGACTGGCAGGTCCCAGAGCGCCCTCCTGGATATGGTCCCAACCTGCGTCCTGTCTCCATCTCTCCCCATTCCACCCAACCCACCTCACTGCAAACCCTACACTCCGGTTATGCCAAACTGCCCACTGGTCCCAAATATGTCACATTTTGAAAACTCTCCTTCCACCCACCTTTCCTATCTGGGTAAGCTTTGACTCACCTTTTTCTTTTTCTTTCATATTATTACTTTCTATTCCTTCCCTCCCCTTTATTGATTTTTGAGAGAGAGGAAGAGAGATAGAAACATCGATGAGAAAGAACATAGATTGGCCACCTCCCGCATGCCCCCCACTGGGGATCAGGCCCACAACCTGGACATGTGCCCTGACCGGGAATCTAACTGGCAACCTCTTGACGCATGGGTCGACGTTCAACCAGTGAGCCACACCGGCCGGACACTTTCTATTTTTTATAAAATGTAGCATTAAAGTCATCCAACATACAGATATCCCTATGGTTCCGTATACATTTATTCTACCTAAAGTTAGATATAAAAATATGGACCGTTTCCTGAACTTGAGTGTCCTCCTTGCCGGAGGCCATGCTCGTCTTCTCGGCATCGTTCCAGTTTTACTGTCGGTGCTGAAGTGAGCACGCTCATCTTGTGAGAGTATCTTCAATGTGACTGTGTTCCGGAGTCTTTTCCAACCCCAAGCAAAGTTAGTGGCGTCTTTCCCTGTTTTCCTGTAGTGGCCAGTCCCTACTTCCTTATGAGATGTAGTCGACTGCAATGTTGGTTTACAGGGTCAACTCTGCCTGGTAATACAGTTGGGGCAGGGACTCAAGCCTGCGTATCTGCACCCTCTAGCCCAGGGTTTCTCCATAGCAGCAATGTTGACATTTGACTGAAAAGTGTTGTGGTTGGGTCTGTCCTGTGCATTGTAGGATGTTGAACATCATCCCTGGCCTTCACCCACAGTGTGACAGTTCAAAACCATTTTCAGACTTTGCCCAAGGCCTCCTGGGGTGGAGAACCACTGCCGTAGTCCTAACACAGACCCTGGTATACATTAGGTGCTCAATAAATAGTTGCTGCTTAATAAATACATGCCCAGTTAATGAATAAAAAACTGTTAACACATGAGAAAAGACCTTAGTGTGGCTTTTACACACTCATCAAATCAAATGTAAAACCTTATGCCAACCGTCGGGTCTCTTTCTGAACTGGCTCTAGTTCCCTCTTTTCTCTCATACACTTTGCTCCTCGCCTGTGGGCTCTTCCTCATGATCATGCTTTGATTTCTTCTCACCCCAAATTCTGTACTTACTTCAAGACAGAATATTTCATCTGTTCTGAAAGCCTTCCCCAATTCACCCAACCCGGTGATCGCCTTACTTCCATTCTCTAAATATTTACGAACAGGGTCTATAATGGAAAATTACAAGAATACACATATGCATACCTACTACATATGTATTATGTGCAATGTATATGTAGTGCATGTCTATATATGCACATATATGTACACATATACATACATGTGTATATATAAACATATACATGTGTTGTTTTTGGTCTTAGAACTATTTACATTTTTGTTTCACAACCTTGTCTAGGAATTTTCTTCTCAACTAGAAGAATCAGTCTTTGATGGAGGCTTACTCGGCCTTTGAGTTTTCTTCCCTTTAGCATCCGCACAAGCTTTATGAACAACAGATGTTGAGCTTTTGCTAGAAGTGAATTTTTTCTTTAAGCGACAGACAGGTGTGTTAAATATGTGTAATTTGTGTGGTCCTGACATAGTTTTGTTTTTAAAGACACGGGGCTAACTCTTTAATTCTTGCAGTTTTTAAACAAACTCATTTCAAGGAGATTCTGCTAATATGAATAAAAGTAATTGGCCATGTTTTAGGATTTCTGTGAGAAGGCACTAAACATGATCAGCAACGAGAAAGACAAAAATGGCTGCGTTTTGTCTTAAATTCTGACTGTGATCCAACTCCACCTAGGCCTCTTTCGCCGTTGCTTGGTGGACTATATTAACGTTGGCCTGCCTGGTGGACTCTGAGCCCTCTCAAGACCCGAGCCTCCTCTGCAGCCCCCCCAGGTCACTTGCAGTGACCCATACATGCAGTTTCCCCGCGCTTGTGTTTGGAAATTTGCCCAAACTTCTATTCGGCAGCGTATTTCTCAAGTTTTTCTTGGAAAAGTTCGGATTTTACATGAGAGTAGTCGCCTGCGGGGTTCGTGATCCACGGTGCTCAAAGGCAGGGCTAAGGGACAAGCCCAGTTTTTCAGCATCGCTCCTGAGCTCCCATCTGTGATGGGATCGAGCACACACTGGGGTGGGCTAGGGTGGGGGAAACATTCCTGGCTTCGGCACTCATTTTTTTAACCCTTAAAAAAAAAAAAAAGATGAAAGTGTGTTTTTCCAAGTCTCAAAAATGGTGCCTTTTGGTAGAACAGCCTCTTGAGGCTCCAGGCTCTCCGTCTCCTCTTTGCTGTGCTCAGACTCACCCTCCCCGTGGCTCTCCCTCGATGCCCACCCGTGCCCTCCCACTAAGAACACAACACCAAAGCACTTCTCTTGACCCTGCCTCCTCCAATGTACAACCTGATTTACTCCACCCTGTCACCAAGCCCATGTTGGCCCCCGTTCATCACTCCTACAACCCCAGCCCACCCTGTATTCTGCTCACTGCGATCTCCTCACGCCGCATAATGTACTCGCTCTTTCTCAGAACCTATGACATCCTGCCCTGGCCGGTTTGGCTCAGCGGTTAGAGCGTCGGCCCGCAGACCAGAGTCCCGGGTTCAGTTCCCGCCAAGGGCACGTACCTCGGTTGCAGTTTGTCCCCGGCCCCAGCTGAGATCGTGTGGGTGGCAGCCACTCGATGTGTTTCTCCTTCAGCGGTCAGAACCTGTGACATCCTAGTGATGCCACGTCTTACAGCGCTTCCACGGCACTCCAACTCCGAGTGCGCAGTCTTCCAGGTAGCTGACCTGCCCGCCTGGAGTTGTCTCCTGGCAGAGCTTTCAGTCTCTTGACTTTTCTTACCCCTTTGTTTTTTTCAGACTCCTTGATGATTTTACTGTCCACTTTAGATATAGGTCATTTCAGGGTTCCATCTTCAACTTTATTTCCACCCCCCTTTAATGCTCTCCTATAGAGGGTTTCTTATATTGTCATGTTTTCAAATATCAATTAAACATAACAGCCACCAAATGCTTCGCTTTACCGTCATCCTCTGGAAGTTCTCACCCATGTTTTGAACTGACTCCAGGAGTGCTGGTAACCAAGCATCTCAAATGCATCATGACCAAAACCAATTTCAATTTCCTTCTGACTCCCATGGCTTGCTCCTCTCTGTTTGTCTCTCTACTAAAGACTATCTATCCTATGCTAGAAAGAGAATTTTTACATAACTTGTCTCACTTAATGCTGATGGTACTTCTGAAGTTTTTTGATCTGTCTCATTTTTTTCATGTCCATAGGTGATAAAAATTGAGTGTTCTGTTTTCTTCCTGCTCTTGTGTATCCTTTCCTCTGCGGTAGGAATTCTTTGTACAAGAACCAGATCTGATGGCCACTCCTCTGTCCCCAAAGTGCCTTGTTCTGAAGACAGTGGAGAACCAAGTGCAAATTAAACCTGACATTCAAAGTCCTCCATGACTGTAACTCTAACCTTGGTCTTCGGAGTCTAGTTTCTTACCACTTCATTGACAGCAGGGGATGGTCCGGCCCCACCAAACTGCAATCTAGCCCAGCATATGCCATACCCTTCCTTTTTCCACCTGGTAAAAATCCAACTGGAGTGTCAGGGCTTAGCTCAAAGCTCTATTGTAAAGCACACTTATCCTTGGTCTGTAAGCAGAATTAATCACGGTCTTCTGTACCTCCACAGCTCTTTCCTTATGGTTCTATTACACCACCTTGTAATACGGTGGTACCCATGGTACTCACTGAGCTTAAGGAGTCCAGGGTCTAGTAGGGTGAATAATATCTTACCCATTTGTTGGCTAGCCATCAATCTGGCTAGCATTTTGAAACTTACACACTCTAGATATCCTTAGAGCTAATATTCTTTGATGTTGAATATTATTTAACTTCTCCATATAGAGAAAGTAATGTGTTACAGGCTAAGGACATGATACTGGTATTGTGTATCCTTCATGTCTGGACTATTGTTCAATTTCTAATGTGCAAGAATAACTTAGTAGGTGCTCAATAAATGTGTTGAGTGCACAAATGAGTTAACTCCTAGAAACTGATGAAAGACTGACTTAGGTATAGAAACAGTAGAGAACAAATCCCTGTCTTTCAATTAAAAAAAAAATTCTTTCCTTGAAATAATTGTACTGAACTGAACTTTTGTAGCAATTGAAATTACTTCCTTCAACTGCCACAGATAATTATTAGTTACATATATTACATGCAGTGTTCTCTACTCCACACAGCGTTTCCTGAGCAGCACAAATGAGCACACACTGGCGTGCGTAGAGCAGTTAGGTCCAAGCAGCAGCAGGCTCGTTGTCCTAGCAGCCTGTAGAGAACAGATTCTGCAGTGTCCTGAGACTCTTACTGTGGGACCTAGACTTACCTGTCCTGACCCGGCAATGAAGCAGCAGCAGCATCTGGGTTTAAAGTGTTAACTTCCAACGTCACCATCTCCTTCCTTCTCCAAAACTTCCCAGTCTTTTCCCCAATTTTATTTTTTATCTGCTTTTATATATTATCCCATTTTCACTTAACATTCCAATCCGATAATCAGAAAACATAGAAGAGGGAATAACTGGATGTTCTACTTGATTAGGGCCAATACCTAAAACATTTTCAAATTTTCCATAGAGGACCAAATTTGATACCAAGAATGATATTATCAATGCTCTTTTCTCTTAAATAAATTAAACTGGTGTAAATAATAATAACTGTGATGATACGAACACTAACATTTGCTTTAAAGTCTTTATTATCCTGAATATAAAAGACAGAAGTCCTCTTAGGATATAACAGAGTTCTTTATGTGGAAACATTATTTTTTTTACAAGTGAAAAAATAAATACCTTTTGGAATAAAGGCTTATATGCTAATATGTGCCATAAAAAAGTAGAGTTTTAATATCTGACAAAATGTCTGTGCAAAGAAACAAATGCATAAACACATTACTGCTACATTAAGGCAATATGAAAAGTATACTCAGGAATCTCAGTAAAGTGACAGTGTAGCTTTCTAGCATCAACTTAGCTAGTATTGCACCCAACACGGTCATCTAGGTTCCCTGACGTCCTAGAAAACCTACAAGCTGACCAACGTCCAAAATGCCCACGTGGGAGTGGAAAACATGATGAAGACTATAGAAACAAAAACCTGGAACCCCTCCAGGACACAGAGAGGGGACAACCAAAAGTTAATACTTAAGCATTTACCAAAAAAAGATACAATATCTAGGTACCTATAATAAGGCTGTGGAAGGCTTGATGGCTCAAGCCAAAGCGCCCCCTGGGTGAGCTGGGATAGAGTGCTTGGGAGAACGCAGAGCCGGCCTTGTTTGTACACCAAAGCTTCCTCTCAGAAACACTCTCCCTTCCCAAGGAACGTGCTCCCTTTTCAATCTTAAAATAAAATATTCCACCAACTCAAGAGTATTCCACCGAAATCTTCTAACCAAATTGGTAGCATTTTATAACTGAGAGGCTTGGGGGTGAGGAGAGGGGTGGGGAAGGGGACAGGAAGCCACCCACACTGAGTTACCTATTTTCCACTAGCCAGACTGGTTTTTAAATCTGACAACTTGGTTGTCAACTTTCAAAAAGTCACAGAATTGATTTTTAAATCTGCCTGCCTTCCAACCATTCTTGAACAAGTTATAAAACAGAAATGACTTAAAATGATGACTGTTTCTTAAAATGTTCCTATTAAAAATGTTCAGAGCTCTGTGACCATAACAAAAACAAAAAACACAAAAAACCAACCAAACAAAAACCAACAAAAAAAAAACAACCAAGTAAATTCTTTAAACAAATTCTTACAAAATTGGCTATAGTTAGGAAACTTACCTTGGGATACATTAAGAGACTTCCAACATCACTTCCTAAAAGGTACCCACTTTTTGGCTATGTTGCCACCTAATGACATCAGAGACTTTACTTATTCCTTTACTTAATCATAAAAAGAACGAAAGTCCGAGGACTGTGTCCATGTCCCGAGCTCTCCTTGGTGCCCACCCCTGGAGGTGCTGATGGCATGTTCTGGTGGTGTGGAGTGTGGTATTCTTTCTTGGGTTTTTTTTTTTAAACATTGCATGGCAGATGGTTGTTGGAGTATTTATTTTCTCCACAATCTTATCATTTTCATAGTTTGTGACAGTGTAGTTCATGGAGCGTGGGCTGTCCGATGAATGCCCAGCAGGTCAGATGATGGTCAGGTTGAGGAGACTGGTGTGGGTCGGAAGATAGACATGCTGCACGTGTTCTACCCGCGACCTGCAGACGGGACACGACTGCAAAAGAGAAGCCGACAGCCCGTTAGGACGCCTTCGGTCTGCGTCTCCAGTGTGCACCTGTAGCGCCTGTTGCATTCTGTTTTCTAAAGAAGCTGTGGTCACAATTATTTCTAGCTTTAAATTGGTAAATATATTGGCTTTCTAAGCAGTTTGAAAGTTTATACTTTACAAGGGATTAAAAACAAAGATTATGAAAAAGGATAAACTGAAGGAAACCAGTTAGGTTTTTCCTCAAACTCCAAACAAGGCCCAAAGATTCCCAAAGACTTCTTGCTGTGCAATGAGGTGCAGTCCCCACCTGGGCAGACTGTGCCCCCGCAGTGATGCCTGAGTCCTTCCAGAGACTGTGTGCTGGCTGGGCTGGCTGACTTAGGCCAGTGCCACTGGCTTGAGGCTAGGTGGCCAGCAAGTGTGGCTCTGCTCCTAGTCACAGGTTGTCAGGAAGCACGGCCCTTCCTCAGCCACAAAGGGAGCCTTGGGCACAAAGACAGAAAAGACAAATCCAGGACCACTCCTGGGGAAATAACTTGTCATAGTAGCATGTGCTACTTGTAGGAAGGACACAGGCTTTCTGGTGGCTCGTTATGTAGTTTTAAAAACAGCTCTGAAACTTGCACTTTCTGAAGATCTAGATGTTATTTAGGGCTAGTTTTACATAAAAACCATAGTGAAATTTAGCAAACAGTTCTGAAAAATGAAAACAAATTGAAAAAATTATTGTGAAAGGAAATGCAATGTGCAAGAAAAAAAAAATACTACATGTGAGTTGCTTTTATTTTGTTGTATTAATATTAAAATTAGTTTGACTTGCTAAGTAAGAGCTACTCCAAGGGGCCCCTACAGGCAAATGTAGCAATAAAAGGAAATCAATTACAAATAATCACAGAGCAAACAACCTACCTATGGATAACTGAGAGTTACCTATAACCCAAAACTCTAAGTATTATTTCCCAGTTATTTTAAGTAAAGACCACCTTCTCAACAAGACATGGAAGAGGAAGTCCTGGCCCAGCCCCCATGAGGCCGGGAGTCCAGTCCTCGGCTCAGCACTAACTAGATGCGTTACCTTGTGGGCCCCAGTCCTGCTTCCAGCACTCAAAGGCTCTAGGGTTTAGACTGATGACATTGTTGCAAACACTACCCTCGTGCAAAATGTTTCCAAAGGGCAACACCTTTCAAGTCACCGACTACAAGGACCCCTTCCAGGTGCGGGTGGACGTTCGGCTTGCGCGTTAGCGAGCCAGCCCTGGAGGGAGCAGCTGCTCACTGTGGACGGGAGGGGACGGGAGGGGACGGGAGGCTGCGGGGGAAGCAGGCCGGCGGCCCCTCACCTGGAGCTGGGCGGCGCAGCTCTCACAGCACACGGTGTGGCCGCAGGGGCAGAAGGCCGAGTTGATCTCCTCCTCGCAGCACAGCATGCACAGCATGGCCTCCTTCAGCTTGCGCAGCTTCTCCTGCAGCGCCCGGGTCTGCTGGCAGCGGAGGCCCTCGCAGCTGCTGCAGTTCACGCCGCTGTCCGAGGACTTCAGAGGAGAGCTCGGGGGGCTGTGCACGCTCCTCGAGACCAGGTCCACCACGCCGGCGTTGTACAGAGCCCGCCTGGCATGGTCGTACACCTCCTTCGACGTTCTCTTAATATCGAAGACGTACTTCTTGCCGAGGTTAATGTTCTCATTCAGAAACAGAGATGCCAGGTGGCCCTTCAAGTCTCGACTGTACTGCATCATGACGGCACTGGTCACCGTGTCACACCTGTGTGGGGAGATTGAACAGCCACCTTAGTACTCACAAGCCCGCCAATCTCACAAGTCCTGAGATTCAGACCGTCAAACGCTGCTGACACAAGACCATTTGTGTCAGCACACATTTAATATTTTTATTGGCATGCTTGTGAGTGTGTCCTTCCAGGTTCATGTGTGTGAAGGTGTCAGCGAGTCTCTGACAAAGCAGCCGTAAAGGTCAGGGACAGTGACTGTGCCCCTCCACCTGCAGGGATGTAAGCGACAGTCCAAAGTGGCTTGTGGCAAGACAAAGGACATTTTTCTTTGATGTCTTGGTTTTATATTATAAATTTCTTTTTTTTTTATCCTCACCCGAGGACATTTTTCGATATTTTGTTCAGATAGAGTGAGATAGAGAGAGAGAGAAACATGGATGTGAAAGGGACACATTGAGTGGTCGCCTGCCACACAACCCAACCAGGGCCGGGGACAAACTGCAACTGAGGTATGTGTCCTTAGCGGGAACCGAACCCGGGTCTCTCCAGACCGCAGGCCAATGCTCTAACTGCTGAGCCAAACCAGCCAGGGCATAAATTTCTTTCTTTTTTTTAATAATTTTTTTCTTTATTAATTTTAGAGAGAGGAAAGGAGACAGAGAGAGAGATAGAAACATCGATGAGAACATTGATTGGCCGCCTCCTGCATGCCCCCCACTGGGGATCTGGCCCACAACCTGGGCATGTGCCCTGACCGGGAATCGAACCAGTGACCTCTTGGTGCATGGGTCCATGCTCAACCAGTGAGCCACACTGACCGGGCATGTTGTAAGTTTCTAGATATTTTCAGTCTGTTCCACAATTTGTGTATCTATTTTAGCACAGAAAAGGTTCAGGTTGCCTGCCAATTAAATTTCTTAGCTTTAATTTCCCAAATATTTGCGTGAAACCACAACTCTACTTTAAATCACCCTCTGAAATGAGAGTATCAGAGTTGTTATTATAAAGCCCTTAGGATGTGGTGAGGACGCAGGAGGAAGAGGACCTCGGCCACCTGCTGGGAAGGGGCAGGGGGTCTGGGAGGAGGCAGGGATAGGCGAGCTGGGGTCTGTGCGGTGCTCACGCACGCGCTTTCTGTGGCTTTTAAAAGCAGGACAACATGGCTACAGGAGAAATGAAGTGTTCCAAAGTGGCTGATTCCTCAAATCCGGTGCACAGTTTACTGAGACTACAACACCAGAAGCTGCGGGAGCCTCACTGTCCCCTGAAAACCCCGGAGCTGTGGACAGACGCAGAGGCAAAGAGCGGGACGTGCCTGTAGAAAGCGTGTGTCTCCGTGATTGCTCGGTAGAGCCCGCTGGCCGCCCTGGTGCTGATCATCTTAAACAAGAGCACGATGCTGTTCCCAGACTCTTTGGTGACGGTCAGGTACACATTCTTTCCTGACTGGGTAGCCATCTGCACTACCGGGTACGCGATCCTGAAAGACGGGAAGAGAAAAGTGAGCAAGGCCAGACGGAGAGATCTGTCATCGTTCATACCTTCATAGGATTCTCATGACCCAGCAATAACATCAGGTGCTCGTTTAAGCACTTTGTCTCCTGGTTATGAAGGTACACGGAACAGCGGTTGTGGGTCAGTGGAGAGAAGTGGTGGAGCAAGTTTTGGGGGTGGGTGGGTGTGTGTGTGTGTGTGTGTGTAGGTGAAAATGAGATTTTTATAGCAGTGAACGACTTATTTGAAAAAATATTAAGCCTGCCACATCAATACACTTGAGTTCATATTAAAAAAAAAAAAATTAAATAGTTATCAAAGCCTGAATGAAATGAATGAATGCACCAAAATGAAACACTGTAGTCCCAAAGGATGACTGATCAGCACACTTGCTCCATTTTCTACTTTCATTTTCATAATCAGAGCTACGAAAGTATTCACATGCATAGGTCTAAAAATAAAGACTTGGGTTACCTATTAATTGGGCTAAAGTCATCTTTACAAATGGAGATTCCTTCAGGTCCAACCCCGATGAAGAGTTTCTGCCCTTCGCTGTCCCTCACAGAATGCCATTCTATGCCATAGTGTTCCATTGCCGACACAATCTGCAAGACTTGGTATTCAGCCGAAGCCTGGCTGATCCCCTCCAGCTCCTTATGCTTTGCAACAATGCTGTGGGACACCAAAGAGGCAGAGATGTACACAGAGAGATTAACTGCAGCAGCCTTTAGAGATAACTCTGTATCATTTTCACTAGTGAATTCTACTGACATTGTCATTTATAAATCACAATACCTTAAAGCTATATATTATTGATGTTTCATTTATTTAGCAAACTTACTGTAAAATACTTCAGAGACGCTTTTCAAGATCTCGACAATTACTAACTATTCAGTAGAAAGACTACTGGGGATGCTGGATGAGGTTGAATTGAAAGAATTATGAAAATCTCTAAAAATACACGTAAGAAATTTATATGTAAGAGCATCTCATGTATTTGTCTACTTTCACTTTGTAAGTTTCATTAAAATATTGCATTATAAGGGATTGATTAGATCACTTGCAACTGAAAAAAATGCAGGATTTATTTATCTATTGTGGCAGACACCCTCTCCTCTAGTCCTTAAAGGTCCCTACCTCCTGGCGCTCTCGCCCTTGGAAATGTCCTTCACGTGAGTGTGGGCTGGATTAGTGACTTGCTTCGAATGGACAGACTATGGCAGAAATGATGGAATGTCACTTGCTTCTGAAATTAAGTCATAAAAAGACTTTAACTTCCATCTTGGTGTCTCTCTTGCTGTGACTTGGATTGCTTGCCCTGGCTGAGGCCAGCTACCCCCTGGTGAAGAAGCCCCATGGAGAGGCCCACGTGGTGAGGGGACAAGGCCTGCCAACAAGCCACACGAGTCAGCCTGGAAGCAGATCCCTCCCTCCGATGAGCCTGCATTGAGACCGAACTCCACCAACAGCTTGGGCCTGAGAACCAGCAAGCCAGGACCAGATCCCCGACACACAGAACAGTGAGGTAATGTTTGCTGTTTTAAGCCACTAAGTCTCGAGGTAATTTGTTACTGAAGAACAGATCTAAGACATCTATGAGCAACCCTGGATTTTAGGAGATGTGCAATCTCAAACGGTCAGATTTTAAAAAGTGTTGTCATACAGCATTTCATATAAGGGCATTTATTTGTGTGGATTATGTGTTGTGTTTATAGGTTTCTCAAAGGCTAGGAATCTTTTGAAAATAACTGGGCAATGGCCTAGTCTTAACCTCACAAATTATCTCTATAGACCAGAGATTCATTTTCCTCTGGAAATTCGGACAAACGTGCTCGGTCTGTGGGTACAAGCAGCGGCCGTCACTGCAGTCTCACCTGCTCAGGGCTGCACTGGAGAGCTCCTTTGCACACAGCTCCTCGTAGCTGTACTTGGCAGTGTTCTGATTGTAGTCTCCAAACTTGGTCTGGGCCAGGAGGGCGCTGAGTTCCACCGCCTGCTCTGGGGAACACTGGAGGTGGCCGGCCAGGAGCGCCTCCTTGATATGCAAGAAAAAGATATGCCTACAAAGCAATGCAAGAGTGAGGTTATGCTGGGAGCTGACTTGATATCGAGTTAGCATTTGCACAGTCCCTTTTAAGTAAGGAAAAGGGCAGTTTATTATTTATTTATTTTTTTATAATTTTTTTTTTCTTTATTGATTTTAGAGAGAGAGGAAGGGAGAAGGAGAGAGAGACAGAAACACTGAAGAGAGAGAACATCGTTTGGCCGCCTCCCACATGACCAGCACTAGGGATTTGGCTCACAACCTGGGCATGTGCCCTGACCAGGAATCGAACTGGCAACCTCTTGGTGCATGGGTCAATGCTCAACCACTGAGCCACACCAGCTGGGCAGGAAAAGGGCAGTTTAAAAAGCCACCCTTAAAATGCTTAAGTTAAAGAAACTATTTTATCATGAATATTCATGCAAAATAAGTCTAAGGACCAAAATTTTCTGGAATAAAAAGTCTAACCCAAAGACAAATCTAAGACAGTTCAGTAACACTGGTTACAAAATGTGAAATAATTACACCCAAGTTTCTGCATTATAATTTTTTTTTTTTTTAATCCTCACCCGAGGACATTTTTCCATTTTTTGTTCAGATAGAGCGGGAGGGAGAGAGAGGGAGAGAGAGAGAGAGAAACGTCGATGTGAAGGGACACATCGAGTGGCTGCCACCCGCACGACCAACCAGGGCCGGGGACAAACTGCAATCGAGGTACATGCCCTTAGCGGGAACCGAACCCGGGTCTCTTTGTACCGCAGGCCAACGCTCCAACTGCTGAGCCAAACCAGCCAGGGCTGCATTATAATTTTTAAGAGAAATGACTGTGATCAGAAAAATCTTTATCTTGACAAGAAATTGGTACCTTCAGACCCCCATCTTTATTCAAATAACCTTCAAATCTCTACTTTTAACCCACACCTCTCTCCTAAGAATCACATTCAAACGTCCAATTGCCTGGAGACTTCTCCACCGGGATGTTTTCTGTACCCTAATTTTAGCTCACTCAAAACCAAACCCACTGTCTGCCTTCCCAAACCTGCTTTTCCCCCAGTGGAAACCACAGTCTGATCTGCTATTTTTTCCAATAAACTCATTGTTGACTATCAATCTTATTTCCACCTACTTTCTATTTCTGAAAACTCTTTAAATCCAGCTCCATTCTCCCCACTTTCACCTCCCTGCCCTGTTGCATCTCTACACCGTCAGAGAATTTCCGATATCCTCTAAGCCCCTCTCTCTTTCAGACTCTGAGCTGACCATTTCCGCGCTGCCTGCTTCTGGTTCTTGCCATTTCTCGGCTCAGAATCTTTCAAGGGATCCCACTGTTTCCGAAAGGGCACACTTTCAGCATAAACCCAGGCTTCTCCACCCTCTGGCCCTGACTTCCGGCCACATCTCCTGTCATTCCCTGCAGCCGCGAGGCCGGGGAAAGGGACAATTCCTCTCCCTGGAAAAAGCCGAGCATGTTCATGCCCCGGTGGCTGGTCTCATTGCTCCTTGTGTCCTGAAGGCCCTTCTTTCTGTCCCCTCGTTTAGCTACCCTTTCATCTGTATCACATGCAAACTACTTATTCCTCTATTATGGTGCTTGACATATTCTAACTTCTTACGTGCCTCTAATATCAGAGCTCTATGAGCGGAAGTAAAACTGCATACTGTCTGCAATTAGTTTGTATTCATTCCCACCTTTCGTTCCATCTGACCTGTGCTGACCATATACAACAGCATATTCTACATTTACTAAAAGGTACACCGCACTCAGAAACTCCTGGGACACTTCAGGGATTGTTGCCTGCCAATCTGTATTGCCCAAGAGTCTCAAGAGAGCATATAAACGTCCACAGACAGACTGGCCTTGGTTGTCATGTTTGTCTCTGGCAAATGTATAGGTATAAACTTCCTTTGACTTGTTCTAGCCCCTCAAACAGACTTAAATGCAACAGCATCCCTCCAGTAACGAAAGAGTTACGACCACCGGGAAAGCTCTGAACACTCTTTGGAAGAGAGCTCACATCTCCAGCCAGGCACCCCGTTCCAGTCCTCACCGTGCTGTTATCCACATGCTAGTCCGTGTGTGATGTTCCAGGCAGAGGGCACAGCATGAGCCACGTAAGAAAAGGAAGAAAAAAGTGAGGCTAGAAACACAAGGAGGGGGTCTGGTGAGAGTCTTGTCAGGCTGACAAGAGCCATTCCTCTCCCTCTAAGAACTGTTTAAATTGAATGTTCATGCCTTCTATAATGATAGAGAAATGTTAAAAACGATCAGACTGTGCCAAATAGTCCAGGTTTTTTTTTTTTTTCTTTATTCAAAGTCCCTATGAAGAAATCATAGTAATAATGCATACTAGTTATGAAAGAAGATAAGCACGGTTTTTATTAACCCAAACATCTGCTAGTCTTTAAAGTGTTTCTGATATACTGCTAAATGGCAGAGGGGGTCCCTCCTGGGGCAAAGAAAGAAGCACAAAAACAACTTGCTTTAAAACAGCTATGGGAGGACTGGGGCCTCGCATTCCCATCAAATGCTGTGTCACAACACTGCCCCGGCCGTCTAAAGGCCTTGTAGATGGCCATTCAGTGAATCACCTTGGTTGATGAACTTCTGTCCCTGTATTCATCAGGGGGTATGTTCATAGGAAATGATATCTGATTATACACTTACATTAAAGAAGAAATGTGCTGAAAGACCGTAAGGGTATCACCACAAGCTAACTCTTATCAACTTAATTACTGCTTACGTGAAAGTGACTTTTAAGCTATTTACCAAGTATCAAGTTAGAGGCTAGTTTCTGGTTTATTAAAAAGTAAGTATAGCCCTGGCCGGTTTGGCTCGCGGTTGGAGCGTTGGCCTGTGGTCCGGAGAGACCCGGGTTCGGTTCCCGCTAAGGGCACGTACCTCCGTTGCAGTTTGTCCCCGGCCCTGGTTGGGTTGTGCGGGTGGCAACCACTTGATGTGTCCCTTTCATGTCGATGTTTTTCTCTCTCCTTCTCTCTCTCTCTGTCTCCCTCCCTCCCACTCTATCTGAACTAAAAATGGAAAAATGTCCTCGGATGAGGATTGAAAAAAAAAAAAAGTAAGTATAGCTTGCACAAAGGTTTAAGCGTCGATCCAATTTCTTTTTCCAAACTGTCCGTGGCTACTTCTAAAGAGGCCGCTGCCAAAACCAAAGGCGAAGCAGCAGGAACAAAATATTAACCGGTGGCCAGCAGCCCGAGAGGAACGTGGTCCTTTCCCAGCACGTGGGTCAGGGTTAAAGCAAAGGGGGCGAGGGGCGCTGGCCTCTTCTACACACCCCACATTCTAGGCTGCGCTGCAACCACTACCCTGTGAGCAGAGCTCTCCTCCTTACTGTTGACATGAACTTTCTGACAGGGCCCTTCCTGCATTTTTCAGCTTCACGGCTACAAAGCAACCTTTCCATTTCAAGTCAACAAATATTTGCCGTGCTTTCCTGGTGCCAAGCCCGATGCTGGGGTTACAGGGTGAACAAATCTGATTGCTCCTCTTTAGATGAAACTTACAGCCTTTCAGTGTGAAGGAACTCATCCTACCAGAACGGCTCCGGCCACAGACTGGCTTTGGCTGACCACTTGATGCTCTCCAGGAAGATGGCACAATGGAGCAGTGACGGCAAAGGTCATCAGCTGTGACGAGCCAGCAGTAGACTCTATTTAATATGCTCTCTCCAAGAGGAAGGAGAGCAGAGCACGGAGACACGTTTCCAACAAGGAACCCCGTGATGGCTCAATAGTTAGGGATGGTTTTGAATCAAGTATTTTCTCCTATTATTTTATCTTGAACCATCTGGCCTGTAACTGTCTGGCTCATGAATTCCCCCCCCCCTCCCTTTTTTGGAAAGTGGGTGAAAGGTTACTAATAATATCAATAACAAGCAGATTTGGTCAAAGAAGCCATGCCTGCAGTGAATTGTTTTTATTTTTTTGCAAAAGATCAAAAGTGGTTGATATACCTCATTCAATTTAAGCTACGTGCTAGAATCACTATTTTCTTTGTCTTAAGCAAATGTCTGTGAATATATCCCATAGACATAGGCTCAAAGTGTATTTTCTAAACATTCTCCTGGTCACACCTTAAAATTCATGATTTTTCAAGTTTTACCCAGTTACTAAGAAAATAGATATTTTCAATAGATGGATCACATTTTTGGGGGCCAAAGAGAAACATTCTGGATAACTCATATCTTTGTATCATGGGTACAAATGAATTCATATTTACTGTAACATTATGGAAGATTTAAAAAATGAGCCCTGGCCAGTTTGGCTCAGCGGTTAGAGCATCGGCCTGCGGTCCGGAGAGACCCGGGTTCGGTCCCGCTAAGGGCACGTACTTCGGTTGCAGTTTGTCCCTGGCCCTGGTTGGTCGTGTGGGTGGCAGCCACTCGATGTGTCCCTTCACGTCGATGTTTCTCTCTCTCTCCCTTCCTCTCTCTTCCTCCCATTCTCTGTACAAAAAATGGAAAAATATCCTCGGGTGAGGAAAAAAAAAAGAAGTGAATATATAAGGATAGCCCAAATTTTAATTAAATAAGAGTCACATATTCTTAATATATTTTTGTTTCAAAGTACTTCAAATTTCCTCTATTCTAAAAAAACAATTCCTTTCCATAGCTTTAAGGAATTAAGTCATTTATCTTTTATGAATTATAATCAGAGAACTTTCCTCTCAACACTGGCTTGACTCCATAAGAAATCACTTAAAAACCAAAGCAGAACTTTCTGCAAACCAATCGGGAGTTGTCTATCTGCTCATCACAGATGGTTCCTTTCCATTACTGCCCTCCGGGTATCTTTCCAGTTACCTCACTTTAAAGAGCTTTTTATGACACAAATGTAAGATAACTATATTACATGCACTATTAAACTCAAAATTTAAGTATCTAACCTAAAACATCTTTAAAATGGCTAAAGAGTTATTTTTAAAAACTCTCTAGTCCCAATAATTGAACTCTATGTCTCCCCCCAAAGACATGACTGAACCTGGCCATCTGTTAG